GTGAGGAAGAGGGTAGAGAGGGAGACGAGAATGAAGAGGAGGAATATAATAGAAATGATTTAGGTTTTGTTTGGGATTAGAGTTATGTTTTAATATATTACCTGATTTTTTATTAAACGAACTTTGCACCTGATTTTTAAAAAGTAAACTTTAAACCCCTGATTTTTTTATAATTTCCCAATTATACCTACAATTTTATGAATTGATTATAAGGTATATCAACACAAGCAAAGCAAAGATACTGTTTCTCCAAGCGTAGTCAAACATTAGCACAAATACCTTGCATACACATTTATTTCAATTACAAACTAAGCAAAACCCAAGATCTCCCATATAATCACAATATTCCCAAAGTCTGTAATAAATATTAAATTAAATAAAAGGCAGACAAAATTTGTAACCCCACAAACACGTACAATCAAATTTGCAGCGTCGCTGCCACCGCCACCAGTACCACGACCATAAACAATCTAACACACAAATTCAACGTCAACATTGGAGCTGAACCTACAGAGTCTACTGAATGAATCATCTTCATTTTATCAAAAAAAATTCAAAATCCCAAACCCCCAAATCATTTCAATTTCAATTCATTTTTACTCTCACACATGCAATCAACATCTGTAACGACACAGTAGAAATTGAAAAAGAGAAGGAGTGTAAAGAGAGAAAGAAGTTGAAGAGAGGGATTGTAGGATAATTATTTAATATCTTAATCATAATCTTAAACTTCATTATCACTTGATTTGTGAAATTAAAACTATACCACATTACTTTTGAATTGTATCATTTAGGGTTTGGGCTAATTTTCCCTAAGAAGAATATAAGAAGCCTAAACAATAAACAAGCCCAATCTCAATAGGAAATAATATATCAAAGTAAGTAGAAATGAGTTAAATCTTTCAATGGTCATTGAACTTTGAGCTATATCATAGGTTACTCATCGAATTTCAGAAAGCATCCAGATTGTTACCCAACTTTGGTCCATTGCACTCCATCACTATTTCGTTATACTTGAAACTAAGGCCGTAAATAGATCGGATACGGACCGCATCTGCTCATATTCGATTCGATCCGATTCAATAAGAATAATTATTCGATTCGATCCTATCTGATGATTCAACGAATATTTGATTGTTAAATTTATATCCGATTGACTATGTTATTTGGATATTCGATCCGATGACCCGATCTGAAATTAAATAAACCAGGAAAATAAAATCAATGTTGAAATTAACCCTTTTTAATTTTTTTCAATTCCTAAATAAGTTTAATTATTATAAATATTTCAACTTTTTAAACTTTTAGCCAACTGGATTCAAATGCACAAATTGTTGTTTACCCATTTATTGACTCACTTATTTATAGAAAATATCTCCAAGCATTTTGTTATAAACTTTCAATGTGTGATACAAATCTATTTGATTTGGTTGTAATACACTGTACATTTAGTTTGCTGTTATGTACTGTACATTTGATTTTACTGTAGTGTATTTTTACTATTATATAATAGTTATTTATATTTTATTAAATTAATCATTTTTTCTATCTTTTACTGTTTCATAAAAATTTAAAATCTCCAAATATTTCAATTAACACTATTATACTATATCTTGTTTATCAAATATATTTATTTTGTTAACCTCTTAAAACTGCATTTGGTATTATAATTTGTATGTATTATTAAAATAATTTTTAGATTGATTAATAATTTAAAATTATGTTAAAATAAGAAAATATTTTTTTTTATGTTTTTTCACACCTAAACTTCGTTTAGACTCGTCTAACACGAAACCTCGACGCATTACGCTTTTTAGAACAACGTGTACATGCATATTGACTTTCTCATTTTTTTATGTTTTGAATTTGATGAATTTTTTATTCTAAATTTATTTTTTTCAAATTTATTTATTTTAGTGACAAATAACGTGTCATAAAAAAATTTAACCGAGTCAACTATTTATAACAAAGGAAAAATTTATAACTAAGAGTTTAACTATGACTCGTTTCAAAATTAAGATAAAAAGGTTTTAAACTTTAAAAATTAGATATTTATTAAATTTTATTTGTGAAATAATTAATTCAAAATAAATTTTATAAATTAAATATAAGGTCACAATTTTATACAATTTAGTCACAAATTATCGAATTAATTTGTTACAAATAATTTTTCGGTCATGATTGAAAATTTTATAAGTCACAAATTTATAAAATTAATAAGTCACATATTATTCATTGGTCACAAATCACAAATTTTATAAATCACAATTTATATCATGGTCACTAAAATATTAAATTAACTGGGGACAAATTATATTATCAAATTATTGGTCACAAATTATTAAGTCACGCATTATTTATTGGTTACAATTTATCTATTTCATTGGTCACATATCGTTTATATTTGTCACACATTAACCAACTTATTGGTCACAATCAATCAAACACTTTTGACCACCATCTCACCACGCCACATATGCATCGTCGCCAGAACTACCACAATCACCTCCGACATAAAAACCATCATGTCAAACACCACATCCAACATCATCATTATCACCACCACCACCGCCACCACAACCAACAAAACCACAGCCACCACCATATCCAACATAACCTCCGCCATCGTTGGATCCAACAAAACTACCGCCACCCAAATATCGCTACCTCATTATGAGCACTACCACTACCAGAGCCCCCATCCACCAATTGAAAACACACCCAGATGCAGATCCCGACCACGGCGCACAATAGATCTCAACCATGGCGTGACAGGGCTGAATCGACAAATGAATAAAAGGTAAGAGTTAGCTCGCTGAACTAGCGGGGGTCTCACTTGCGGCGTCGCGTCAACTCCCACCGGTTTCACACGGGAAGCGACACCACCCATAGCCACGCCTCGCTTGCATCGTCGCACAGCGGTTAAGTAGCGCTCCTCGCTTTGCTATGTGTGCGGCATTGTCGCTGTCTCTTCGACTGCACTTATTGTCGTCTCTCAACCGTCGTGTAGAGAGAGAAATAGGAGATTGGGAAAGAAAACATGATGGGAGAGAGAGAGAGAGAGAGCGGCTGTGGTTATATATATATATATATAGAGAGAGAGAGAGAGATTTGGAAATAATTAAGGCTTGGTAGGGTAGATGATAGTGATGTGGATATGTAATCGGGTTGACCTATATCAATATTTGATTCATTTAGTTAATGTATTATTAGATTCGAATCTTGATTAAATTATCAAAATGAGATTCTAAATTCATTTCTCATTAATTCATCGAATTAGGATAAAAATTCAATCCATTGATAGCATTAAAACCCTCGTGATGACGGAATTCCGATGACAATAAACCAATGTTTAAAAAATCGGACCGGACCGGACCGTCCGGTTCAAATGGAAAAATCGGGAACCGGTCTGAAATCCGGTCCGATTTGATTTATAAACCCTTTGGTTTTAAAACCGTCTAAAAACTTGTCGAACCGGCCGGTTTATAAGAAAACCGTGACCCGCTCCGGGTTCGAAGGGTGAAAAAGGAAGGAAAACGAAACCTTTATTTTCACTTTCAATACAATTTCAAAAGCATCGTCTTTTTCCTCCTCTTCACTGTGCCACTGCTGTATCCATCGAAGGTATTTCTTCCAAATTTCTCTACTTTGTTCTTGACTCCATATTCTAAATTGCGTTATTCCTCCATTAACGGGTTAACTTCTTAAGCATGTTTGATTTCTTCTAAACACCTTGATTTTTCATTGTGTTCTTCATTTTTCAGAAATATTTATATTTTCTTCCAAGATTTCAATTAATTTAGGGATAAGAATTATTTATCTTGCGTATTTTGTAGGTTTAGAATAACAAAATTCATATTTGATTTGGGAAATTTGTTGTTCTTTTTGTATATAATTCTTTGTCAATACCATACCCCCCCACCCCTCTGTCAGAGGACATCAAGAAATTGATCAAGCCCCTGTTTGGCCCCCATTATTTTGCATTTTTTATGGTTGAAAATTTTTGGAACAGTGAATGATGGGAGAATGTGTGTTGGAAAAGTAATGAAAAGTTTTAAATTTGTGTGTAATATTATTTTATTTGATGAATGTGTGGTTGTAATGAAGATAGAGAAAAATTTAATGTAATTTAATGGGGCCAAACAGGGGCTAAATCTCAGAATTTTCCCATCTCCAAGGTGCATAAAATTTGGGGGTAAGTGGCTATGGAGAAAGAGGAGTTTGTGGAAAACATTGTTTGCGTGGTTGACTTTTTGTAATACCAGAACTTTTGTTTAATCCAAAAATTTGAAGGCATTTGATCTTGTTGTGCCATTGTTTAATCCAAAACATTTTCATTAATATTGGAATTTGAGTTTTGTTCTTCTTCTCCCCTGCATTATTTGGTTTCTTGCTTTGAAAATTTTACTAGTAAGAGGCAGGTCACTGGTTTATTTTTAAAATTCACTGATCTCGGTTCAACATTTTGACTCTTGACCCTTTTTAATTTCCGAGTCTGATGCCCAGGTCCATTTTTAAAACATTGAAATAAACTCCTCAAAAGAACAAAATCAGACACCAACGTCCTCTCCCTTTTCAAAACCAAAACACAACTTCTTCATAAAATCACAGACACGATTGAAATATCCCCGATTCACACCCGATATCAATCGGACGCCCTAACCCCCCAAATCGAATTTTCCCTACAATCGAAGGCCTTCAAATCCGAAGTTGGCGGCCTGAGAAGCAGAAACGGTGGATATAGCATCACATTAGCTGGTCCTGATGGAAGGGTTCTAGGCGGTTGTGTGGTTGGTTTACCAATTGCTGCATCCTTTGTACAGGTTTGTTTGCTTTTATTTTGACTCTTCTGCTGCATATAGGCAGTTATTTTCAATCTGTAGTCCATTCTGATAGAAATTGTTTTTCTCACGGACTGTGCCCTTCAATCAGATAACAAAGAGAAGCAAAATTCAATTGGTTTTTGATGTTTCTTGTGAGTATTCAGTTGGGTTTTAACTTAATTTTTTATTCAGAATTTTATCTCCCCCAAAATTTTATAGTGCAAAAAGTAGAAATTTATTTCCTTGGAACACGTGTAGTACTTATGTTAGAGGAGTATTAATCAGTTCATTTTGTAGGACTTTACCGTTCTTTACTTGTCTTCTTGCATTTGCGATGGGGTTGAACTTAATGTGTTGTTTCTGTCATATCAGTTAATGAACTCAAATGTTTATTTAATTCTAATGACTGCGATTAGCTTGCTCAAATAAGAGCATAGTATCTGAACTGTTGCCTTGACAAGACTTGGAAGGTTGACATTTCTTCTGGCTGGCAATCGCTTATAAAATATGTTGTTTTTTTATTTTTTATTTTAATAATAGTTCCAACTATTTTGGATATATATGTAATGTGGATTCACTAGGATTTGGTTAATGAGCATATGCTCCTAAGCGCAGCCGTGGGGTCAGATCTCATCATTTACTCGTCTTAAATTGATTAATTTGATTCGATCATTTTTTTTTTCTCTTAAGTACTGTTTGTGTTACTAGTATTGAATTGGCACTTGAATTTTTTGATAAAGACAATAACAGAAATATGTCGATCAAGAGAAGAATAGAAAACTTTTAGTTTTCTTTCTTTTTCGATGGTTTTCTTTCTAATCAGATTGCAGTGTGATTACTTAATTTCTCACAACTTGTGCTTACTTAATTTTCATGGCTGCAGTAGTAGGGTGGTTGTAGTTTTCAATGATAGGGAAGAACAACCTGTTACATATGTTTTACTCCATTTGCTCTCTATTTACCTGTTGCGTAATTCCAATCCAATATACAACAGGTAGAACTGTATCAATTCAATAAGCAACACTATGCTATAGAAAATTCTCTAGATTACAGCAAGTATGACAGGAAAAGACGAAAACAGATATTGGCCAGCAAGCATGAACCCCATATCATCTGAATCCCATAGACAGTAAATATATAGCTAATATCGATTCAAGACATAATGTTTCCAGCAAAGAGTGTCATCAAAAAATTCCTACCATTAAATTTTTCTGATCTTGAAGTTGAAAAAAAGGTACGATAATGGTAGCCAAAAAAAAAAAAAACTTCTAGCAAAGATGTTCAAAACCTGTTGAAAGCAAACGTGTATTTGGGTTTAGGGTTTTGGAATGATTTGTGGCGTGAGAGATGAACTGATTTCTTTCTTCCATGCTTTGGTGAATTTTTGGGTTTTTTCATTAAGAAAGGTGTGTTTAGTTTTATTTATTAGTGGCGTGTTTGGTGTTGATATGCTTTGATGACCTGGCAACCACGTATGCGTTTGATTTAACATTTGGAAGGAGTTAACTGCCACGTAGAAATTCCATAATCTACGTCGGCTTCAAGTGAGACGGAATCAACAGATCAAAGTTGAGTGATCACTGGGACGCATTCTAAAGTTCGATGAGTAACCCGTGACATAACCCAAAATTCAGTGGCCGTTGAAAAATTTAACTCAAGTAGAAACCCATTACTACACTAATCATCTTTGACCCTTCCAAATCCGGCAGCTAGATATCAAACTCCATTTTGCAGTCAAAGTAGAAATCTTTGTCGTCCTTGTGTTTCTGCTTCTTCTCTGAGACGAGTGACTGATTATTTTCTTGGCTGATCTTACTTATCTCTTGCACAATATTTTACATTTTGGCTGGCTTTAATTATTATTTTTGTGTTCTGTCATATGCGGACTGTGGGGTTTGATTATGTTTGGAATTTATAATGTATTAAATTAATGTTTTGCTCTATTATTTGTGGGAGTTTTGTGTCATCTTCTAACGCACCGGATCCCATCAGAACTCCGAAGTTAAAAAAAAAAAAGTTTTGTGTCATGTGGACGGTGGGTTTGATTATGTTTGGAAATTATACTGTATTACATTAATGTTTTGCTTTGATTTTTTGTGGGGATTTTGGGATTTTAGGACCCGGTCAAAACAGATTTCTGTTGAAGAAGTTGTAATTGTGACTTGTGCTATGTTTTGAAATTGGACTTTAGAATTGGAGGAGTTTAGTATTAAAATGCAGCTGTGCAGCCTTTGCTTCGTTTTATTTTAGTTTGCATTAGAGTTAATGGTCTTTAAAAAAATCTCAGGTGTCTATAGTCTATGGATTACTGAAAATAAATAGTGTTGATTCATTTTTCACAGGAAGAACCTTTAAAATTCATTGTCCTTAGTTTTAGGTACTTATTATTTCGGCCCCTAGATGTAAATCCTGGCTCTGCCACAGGCTACGCACAGGTTAATCAAGCTTATCAAGTTGGAAAGTCTGTAGAGCTGTCAAGTTTTGATTTTACTGAGTTAAGTTTCTTTGTGGTACTTCTGATTCTTTAATCATTGTATTGAATTCATTAAATTTTCTGTTTTACTTGTTACTTACCACATTGCTTTCAACATGCCCCGAATGAATTTTAGTCCATCATCAAGAAATCAAAATAGTGTTTCATAAATTGAATTGGGAGCATATTATGGGTTGACAACAAAACAGCGTAATTTGCGATTCTTCTTTTCAATTCAATTCTTTATTTCTGTTATTGTTTAGTCTCTCTAAACGAGTTGTTTTTAATCAAGTTCCTGCATTTTATTTTACTTTTTATATAGGTGTAGACAAGATAGATACTGGTACTGTGATATCTATGGCTGTTAATAAGCCTCGTGGAAGTAGTTTCTCGCGCAATTTTACTGCTGCATCAAATACGATATCGCAGATTCCTGGGCTTAAGCATGGTCCAAACGGCACTATGTTTCTTTCATCTGGCATACCGGACCTTGACAGTAATTTCTTTTCAACTCCTGTATAAATGGAAGTATGCAGTTTGTCCCATCTCATAAAGTTAAATGGTCAATGATTTTTGTACATAAAATGCGACTTGCAGAGATTTTGGGAGGTGGATTTACATTGGGAAGTCTTGTAATGGTTATGGAAGACCCCGAGGCGCCACATCATATGCTGTTGATAAGAAATTTTATGTCTCAAGGGTTGGTTCACAATCAACCTCTTCTCTATGCTAGTCCGGCAAAAGATCCTAGAGGGTTCCTTGGTACTCTGCCAAGTCCAATGTTCTCAAAGGATGAAAAATCTCGTGACCGTGATGCAGAACAGGTGCCCATCGTTTTTCATTAATCATACTCCTGAGCACCCGAATGTTAGTGCACATGAACTAATGAACATAGTATTGGCATCTCCTGGTGAACATTTGCTTATTTACTGAATTGTAGGAAAAGGGCTTGAGGATTGCTTGGCAATACAAGAAGTACTTTGGGGAACAGAATTCAGAGTTCCAGAGAGGTTGGCATACTCAAATTCAGCACTGTTCTCTTATCTTCTCTTTTTGTTTCTTGTCATTTTGATCTCCAGAATGTTATTTATTATCTGTTAAAGAATTGTGTTTACTAACAGTATGTTGGCGGAAACACATCCTTGGAAGTAAGATATAGAGATCTAATTAAAATGAGTAACTCATTTATCAATATCAATAGTCAAGGTTGATCTATTATTATGCTTACAAAGTGAACTATAATCAACGTCTATGATACAACTGTATTATGGATGACTAGGTAGGCATGTTTGCTGAACACAGCTAGTGAGGAAGGTTATGTATGAGAAAGGTGTGGGGAGAGTAATAACAGTTGATCAATTCAAATAAAAGAAGTTTCTGCTTATTTTAACAGTGCTAGGCGGACATAGTGCTTTGCATGTGGCAAGTGCTGCATGTGTGAGTGGATCCTAAGTTAACTGACTATTCTTAGATGAAATAATTGGGAGAAATCATTAAATTAATCTTAAAATAGAGCTGACTAGACAAATTTTTTGATTGAATACCAATCAAGGAAAGAAATCAACTATGTAAGTTTGTTACTTTACACAGTACAAATTGAGCATATAATTTTTCACCTTATATCCTGATTCAGAATACACAGCAATTTATTGAACCCGTTTTATTTGAGGAAGTAGGATCTCTTCCTCTACTTTGATCTCCCTTTTACTTTTGGTCTCTATAGCACAAACACTTCAATTAGGGTGTGTTGGACACGAGTCGATACAGACACTTCTTGGACACTCTACCGTAATCATTTTTCTTTTTATATTAGAAATGTTATACATTGTTAATTCAAAGTTATTAGCAAGTAACAAGTATGTACTCATGTTTAAAAGATTTCAACAAGAAAAATTAATAACAAATATAAAATTAAATTTATACTATATAAATGAAGAATTTTTAAAAATTTAATCAACGTGTCAATAACGTGTCTTAGCAAGTAACAAATAGGTACTCACGTTTAAAAGATTTCAACAAGAAAAATTAATGACAAGTATAAAACTAAATTTATACTGAATAAATGAAGAATTTTTAAGAATTTAATCAACGTGTCGATGACGTGTCGTGTCTGTAATTTTTTTTAAAATCACGTGTCTGCGTATCCGACACGTATCGTGTCGGACACATGTGTCCGTGTCGATGCATCATAGCTTTTGGTTTTCCTGTATTGTTTTGCTTGGAAACCTAACTTGAGTCTGATATTGGAATTCTTTGCAACAATGATACTTTTACTTGAAGACAATTTTTTGGCTATTTGAATGCTCTTATCTGAAAGTATATACTTCAGGAGTTGAAGAAGTGGATTTTAGTTTAATTAATTTTTCTCTTCACCTTACATTATAAAAATCAACAGTTACAATTACAGAGAGATGGAATTGTACTAAATTATAATCCTATTAGGAGTATTAGACCTTTATCTGGACTTTAAATGGACAGACATGCGACACAGACATGCGACATAGACAAGCTGACGCGTGATTTTTCAAAATGGTAGGACACAGACTTGTCAGGACATGTTGAATTATATTCTTTAACTTATTTCATTTCTATATTATATCTTCATTTTTATATTTCATTTATATTTCAGTAAAATCACAACTTTTTTATCTTTGATTTTAGCAAATGAAATGTTTTGAATTAAAGAAGTGGATATTTGTTTATACCAGGATAACTTTGGGTTAAACTATATTTTACTACTACTAAAGAAAGAAAATTGCATATAATGAATATAAACTGAATTTGATGTACATCATAGAATTTTTCTCACATTATTATGACTTTTCTTCACAAATGTTTAATAAATAAAAATTTCCCAAATTTTGATTTTCAAAATATATAAAATGGAGCTTTCCTGCCTTGATGTGTTGAAGACATATACGTCTTTTGTTAGGCTATAAAGAATATGATGGTGATTCAGCCTTGTGTCTCTGAGGTTGTCTTGGAGGTTTCCATCACATGTCCTAAATTTTAAAAAGCATCTGAAAAAGTGGGACATGCCACCTCAATAGGAGTGTCTGTGCTTAGCAGAAAATGGATCTTATTTATTAAGTTCTAACCTTTTTTGTGTATATATCAGAATTAATGTTTAGCAACAATGGAGGTAGCTATATATGATACAATGATCTACATAATCAAGAAATCACTTAACTGAAACTTATAGCTTAATTTAGGATCTGTTGCTCGAAAATTAATGAGAAGTTTATCAGCACGCAAGAAATTTTGCACTAATTTCTTTGGAGTTGTTATTTGTGTGATAACCTTGTCTCTTTATACAGCACACTTACTGTTTAATCGGTTATCCTATTGGTAAGAACTAAGTAGTTGCACAAGAAAAGATTGCACTTATAAATAAACAATTGCTAATGTATTGCAGATGGAAAATCTGAGTACTGCAATGATTTTGACTTGCGGAAGCCCCTAGAGAGGCACTTCTACAGTGGACAGCAGATTGATTGCATTAGACTTCAAGATTCTGCTGATCTCACCACATTCCATGACCGTTGTTCGAGCTTCTTATCTCAAACTCCTAGGTAGTTGTTTAAACATTGTAGCCCGTATTTACAAGGCTCTTTGTACACTTGATGCTTTTTCAACATGCTCGGTATATCTAAAGAATTGTTTATGGCGGTGCTAAGGTTTTTGCTAGAGCTTTTGAACTGTGAATGCAAAGTTCAGTGGAGTGTGGAAACATGCTGGACCCGTTATTTTCTTGGTTCTAGTTGCAGCAATTGACAAGAGTAGCTGCATTATAATGAAAGTCTGATGTCAATGGTTCAAGCAATTGTGATATGGTTATGCTAATTATTAGTATTGATATTTTATAATTTTATTGGAATAATGAATCCTTGAGGAAAGTAAAAGGATGACTGGAACAGAGATTAATTCTTGATGAGTTTTACTTTTACCCTTACAAAAATAAAAAAAGATGCTAGCTCTAAGAATGTCAGACATAAAACCATAGCTTTCTTTACTTTTTCTGAACCATTATCAGCTATCAAAAGGAGGGAGAAAATAGAGGAGTTCTTGACAGTAGATTTCGTTTTGCCAAGGATGTCATCAATTGGATTGCCGAGGTAGCACCTTTTATGTTCCATAATATATGCCTCTAAGAAAAATAAGTATTTTCATTCTGCGCTCCTTGATAATTTAGCATTACTCTGTCAACTGTATGTATGTGGCATTTAGTCATCATATTGGCTTTCATTATGCTCTGATAAAGTGTTATTTTCCTTGATGTTTACCCTCAAACTCTAATTAAAAAATTTAACTCTGTTTTGGCGTTAGTTCTGAACCTGAATAGCCATTTTTGTCTTGCCTTTCTTACTTGTTCTACCGGAATTAAAGCATTTTGTCAATTTTTTCTTGGATGATTCTGCTATTCTGATTGGTTGATTTTCAAATTGGAATTTTTGTTCTATATGTTGTCAGGAATGATAGGAACATTACATGTGCTGGTCGTATTGCCATTCAGTCACTAGGTGCACCACAATGTGACTTTTCTGACAAGGTCAGGGCTCATTTTCATGTAGTAATGAGATCGTTTTTCGGAAGATACACGTTTTTATTAAATATTCCTAGACTGTTAGGAAGGTTACTGGATGGATGAATGCATGTTATGAGTTTGACTGTAAAATTCTTTTACAAATGACCCGTGCATTGTTTTGGTAGGAATGCGATATGCTTTCTTTTATCAGATCTCTAAAAGGCACAGTACGGTCATCAAATGCAGTAGCCGTTATAACCTATCCGCCCTCCCTTGTTTCACCATCCTTTTCAAAGAGGTTGCAGCATTTGGCTGACACCTTGGTTTCTGTCAAAGCAATTCCGGGTGCGTGTTTGTATGTGTGTTTGCGCGCATGTGTTTTATGAGCTTGATATTAAATATAACACCTTTTTTGCGGGCTAATTATTTACAAAATATGCTTGAAATAGACGAGGATAAGGAAATGGCAAAGCTTCTTACAGGATATCAGGATATGGTTGGCCTCCTCAGTGTACACAAGGTGGCACGTATTAATACACAGGTTGCCTTTTCAGTTTGTTGTACTTAGGTTGATACTTTTGCGATTGTTTCTTTAAAACAAATTCTGTCCATTGGGTGAATAAGTAGAATTTCAGGCACATTACCTTCCCTAGTTAAGATTCTCATTAGTTCTTAAATGTGAACAGGTCCCCACAATTCTAGAGGCTACCACTTTCTCTATGAAATTGCAGAAGCGAAGATCCTTAATCTTGGAATGTCTAAACCAAGCCCCTATAGATGGTTCAAGCGGAAGCTCATATGCTTCTTCTGGTAGTTGTTCTGGATCTTCTAAGACAGGGGCCCTCGACTTTTAGTTGGTACATTACTTCCCCTTTGTAAATTAGGAGATTAAGCTTATTGAATGCCACACTTGCACCATTGTGAGAACGATGCACGTGTAAGTCAGATTTGATTAGATCTTCTAATTGCCTAGACTCTTATTTATTCTACTATCAGTAAATTACATATAAAGCAGAATCATGACCCGAAGTGTTATTACTGATATGGAAGAAGAAATCATGCTTAAGTATCTTAATATCTACAAAGAACCTACTAATAAAATTGTCTTTCCAACCTTGAACCTTCCACTTATTGCATATATATAAGTGTTATGAATTATATGAAAGAAGAAATTTGAGATGAAATCCAGTTGATCTGTGTATTCTTTGAAGTGATGTTATTCATCGAGTTTAGATGGTCATTGATTTATGTGTAACTATATTGACTCCTCATTTTACTTTAAAAATAACATTGCTTATTCTTTTACAAGAGGGCTTTCAAGAGATTTGATATTTATATAGAATATCTTCAAAAAAAAATTATACATTTCAACATTGCTCTTTATATTGACTCCTCAATAGCATTTTTCCTTCTTTTGTAAGAGGGTTTCCAAGAGATTTTCACTATTTATATAGAACACCTTTAAATATATTTATACACTCCAACCTTGCTCTTTAAATTGACTACTCATTTTACTTTTTTCAAGAAACATTTATTGATTTCTCATCATATTTCTTTATATGTCAATGGTCAATCAATTTTTAAAAATGATAAAAATAATTTATGAAGTGAAATATTCACGTCTATAGCTTATTAAATGAATTTATTATAAAATAAGAATGGAGTATGAGTTTGACTATTCATAACAAAAAAAAAGTTTCTTAAAACTTATTTTTTAGCATTGATTCTAAAATAGAGAGCATTTTGTACTTAAAAAAAATCTATTGAAGATAGTCTGCTAAGGTTGGATACAGTTTTCCCCCATCTTTTCCTCCTTGTTCAATGTGCACCCTTCGTACGAGTTTGGGGATTTTCAGACTAACTAGTGTTTTATAGTTGTACTTGATGTAGTCTCGTGATTTTAGTAGTTGGAAACTGTATCAACTTCCTGTTTTTTTCTGCCCTTAATTGGGACCCGTCTATGCCATTTTTCTGAATCGATTTCAAGCTATTGGAATTTGAATGTATACAAGTCTCTACGAAGTTATTACCATTGTCATGATATCATCTTTGGTTAAATATTTTCTCATGCTACTTTTGACTAAGATTAAGCAAAGAATATAGTCTTTGATTATTCACAAGCTTAAGATTGTGGAGTATATGGTATGGAGTATGATAGACTTGAAGAAGTAAGGTACATTTTGTTTTGAAGGAACATGTAGTAGATAATGACGTGGGGAGAAAAAGGAAAAACACTCTATGTCACACACTAAGCCTATGTTTGATTTTCATCAAAATTAGATTTTAATGAGTGCAAATTTTTCAACGGTATTTAAAAGTTTCTGCTAGAAAGGATATTGGCAGTCTGCCATTAAAAAAAAAACTAGGGTTAATAAACTATTAGATCAACAAAAATGTGTGTAACGATACATAAATATATACCGATGGGGTGTTACACAATGGAATGAAGATTCTTAATCCATACACTAATTATGTGATTTATGATATCATTGTTGAAGAAGCCTCATTGTCTAGAGCAATCGAATAAGGGTGAAGAAGTATAAACGATAATGAATTTTTAAAATAAAGAAGGAAGAAAAGAAAATTTAGCCCCTAAAGAGCTAGGCCTTGGGCTTTCCTCAGGTCCGGCTATGTTGGCAGAAATCCTAGTTCGAACAGGGCATTCGTTAAAGAAAAATGTTATTCATTCTCAGTGGGAATGCATTTCCAGTCTATGTGGATGTAAATGATTGGTTAAATGATAGGTGAAATTAAATGACTTATTTAATTTCACCTATCATTTAATGCCACATTAACGCCATATAGACTGTGAATGCATCCCCAGTGGGGATGAATAACATTTCTCTTCGTTAAAATTACTTTTTACCTGCTCTGTCCTCAGCTTTTGACTTGAAATTACGAATCAAACCTATCATTCATTCTCCCCCAAATCTCTTTAAAACACTGCATATGAAATCTTAAAAATAGGATGTGGAAAAGTCAATTACAAAACTGTTCCTGACATTTTTCAGCCATTTCACTGTATGTGGGCCCACATGATTTAAATTGAAAATGAGTTTTTCTGAATTTTAGAGTGTGTTTGGTAGGGATTTTTGGGGGAAGAATTGATTTTTGAATAGTGATATGATGGGAAATGTGTGGTTGAAAAAGAAGATAAGAGTATTGATGTGATGGAAAATATTATTTTATTGAAGAATGTGTGGTTAAAAATGAGAATTGATTTACTGTAGAAAATGATAATTTTTACCAAACAGGCTCTTATTCTCGATCGACTTGATATCAATTTTGTGNTGTACCAAACAAACTCTTAATGGGTGTCAAACATGAGCTAATTATTGGAGTGTAAATAGCTCTGGTTGTGAGACAATAAAGCTCTTACATACGGCATTTGTCTTCAAGTCCAGGATCCATGGTGATTGGCAGATGCGAGTCACCTTTCAATTGTTTTAGAAAACTATTAAGGAAACGAAATTCAAATAAAAACATCTAGGCCAGTGTTACAGTAGCCTAAGATTGGGCAGATTTGACTTCCCTAACCACGAATGAACATGTACATTATAGATGCAATTTTTGATTTGGACACCCTTTCGATGGACCATCCCAGGTGTTACCGTCACCTCGTCTTGCATTATTATGATTGTTACTGTGTATTGTCATCTAAATAATCTTGGAAGTGCCGAAAATCCCAAAAAATTGCATTCATAGGCACCACTTCTACTCGCATTATGTCCACTATCAAAATTTATTGCAAGCAAGGCTTCATGCAAACAGCAAACTACATCATGCGAGTGTCATGCATACACCAACAGCAAGAAAATCAAACTACTTGTTGATATCCTACTTCGCTTAAAAATAGAGTCCGCTGATAATGGAAAATGGGAAATAATGCAGGCCCCAAAAAACAAATTTCCTGAAAATATTCTCGTCTAGACAAATGCATGCATTATACTAATTAAGCTATGTCTCATCAAACTGTGTAGCTGGTGGTATCACTCGGCCTTCAATGAGTTGGCAATGTCGATCACAAACCGGTATTTAACGTCAGATTTCGCAAGGCGATCCATTGCAGTATTGATGTAATCAACAGGGATGATCTCCACATCTGGTAATATATTATGCTTTGCTGCAAAATCAATCATCTCTTGCGTCTCTTTCATTCCTCCTATCCCACTGCCGGCTATTAACTTTCTACCTGTAGTCCATTGTGGATGTTTAGCAATATTGTCAAGACCAGACCCGGCCTGACCGGCAGGTCTGACCGAGAAATTGGGAATCGAGTAAAAACAAGAAACTTAGAAACCATGAACATAAGCACCATACCATATTTTGCTTTTATTTTAGCATATGTTCAACTCTCCGAACCTTGAACCTTGACCTTTTTATGAGGTCGATGCCCAAGCCAATTTCTTAAATATTGATGTTCAGGCATTATTTTTTTCAGCAAAATTGAAACCCCTTCCTCCCCCTACTTTAACTAATAAAAAATATATTTATTTTAATTTCTTATAATTGTACTTTTTAAGCTTATGCAAACATGATCTGAGAGTCCGTAGGACCAAGCGAATGAGAAATATTACTGAAATGTTTGCTAACCTGAAAGCAAGGGAAACGCTGGCAACTCAAGTGGCTTTTCTGGAACACCAACCAGTACCATCTTTCCATGAGGCTTCAACGAACCAAGCAAGGGTAAAATGGGGTGATGAGCAGATACAGTATCGATGATCCCGTCCAATGTTCCAGCTGCAGACTGAATATGGATAAATATAGAGATTAATGAGATTTAATTACTCAGCAGAACAACTAAATTAAATCCCAATTCCTCACCTTCATCTCCTCCGGATCACGACTAACTAAAAACAAGTCAGCGCCAAGTTTTTCAATAGCTTCCTTCTTCTTATTAATAGATGTACTGATAACTGTAACCTTAGCGCCAAAAGCCTTAGCAAACTTCACAGCTACATGGCCAAGCCCACCAAGCCCAACAACACCAATATTCATTCCTGGCTTATCGAGTCCAAAGTACCTCAAGGGGCTGTAAGTCGTAATCCCAGCACATAAGAGAGGAGCACCAGCGTCAAGGGGAAAGTTGTCAGGCCAACGAACAATGAAGTGCTCATCAGCAACCATTAAATTAGAATAACCTCCATATGTAATGGTACCATCAGTGTAAACAGCATTATAGGTCAGTATCATTTTTGAACAGTAATTTTCAAGATCGTTGGTGCATTGATCACACTGGCGACATGAACCAACCATACATCCAACTCCCACTTTGTCCCCGACCTTGACTTTCTCCACCTTGCTGCCAACCTCAGTTACTTCACCCACAATCTCGTGCCTGCAATATACAGCCCAGTTCAACATATGCTTCAACCACTTTTCCTTTCGAAGATCTGCCATCTTTCCATAACTTTAAGATGATTCAAACAGACTAATAGAAACTACAGCAACAGTTTGCATTCAACGTCTATGATTTAGTTTAGATGTAAAGAAACAGAACACTTACAGACATAAGACACTCACAAGAGGGGGAAGGGGGGGGGTAATTTTTTTACTTTTTTATTGCGCGGGACCCACCCTCGTGAGAGGGTGTAAGACTTCTGTGAGCTCGTTCTTCTGTACAAATGGAATTTCTCTTTAGTTTATTAGATCAAATATCCATGGAAGACAACTCAGAATCAAGCCATAATTAGTGCAACTGGTGGTACAAAAAAGCAAAGATAGTTGTCGCTTTGTTTGATTTTCATTTAGATGGGGCAAAGGGAATATGGAATCGGCAATGCTTGTATTCATCTAAATATGTCACAAGAATTTGTACAAATATTTCTATATTCTCCATTTTCAAATCCAAATT